CCAGCGATCCTCCTGCCTCAAACCTCCCAAAGTGCTGAGATTATAGGCATGAGCCACTGTGCCTGGCCTTGTCTGGTATCTTATACAATTACATATTGCTCATCCCATCCTTCAGTCAGCGGCCGATCACAGAACCTGTGGAAGAATGGAGAGGTTTATCATCTCCTATAGGCCTAGGTTCACTGAGATACAGTGCAGAGTTAAAGCCACAGGAGAAAGCAAGCTGTTGGAAGGTTGTGCTCATCTGTGGCCATGTCAGAGAGCCCATTAGGAGCTGGAACGTTGGACCAGTAGGGACTGAGGGCTCCCAGAGAGAATGCTGAGGCTCAAGATGTGAAGGAGCTGACCCGTGCCTCTAGCACCAAGCTGTGGTCAGTGTGTGATGGGGCAAGATCAGGCCAGTGAATTGTGGTCCTCACTGCAGCCACAGTTGGACGTGAGACCTTACTTACCTCGTCTGCTCCCTCATCACTGCATCCACAGGGCACATCTTAACTGCTCGGTACATGCTGTCAGGACTCGGTGAACTGGCCTTTCTTATAATTTCTGTTTGTTCCTGTCTCTCATAGTTCATCACCTCCTGGTATAGGAGCAGCTGTGAGCTGGCCTATAGCCTCCACCTGGGCCCTCTATAACGGCTGCCTGGGAAGCGGGAGAAAAGGGGCTGTACTGGGCTAATGCATGTCCCCAAAATTCTCGTCCACCTGGGGCTTGTGAATGTTGACCTGATTTGGAAATAGAGGCTTTGCAGATGTAATATATAAAAATGAGGTCACACTGGATTCACATGGGTAATTATTATAAGGGTACCACTCACTAATCCACCTCCTTCAATCTGAGGTCAATCACAGGACCTGTGGAAGAATGGAGAGGTTTATCACCCGTAGGTCCTAGGTTCACTGACGTGGCAGTGCAGTTATTTTCATTTATTACATCCGCAATGTATAATAGAGGCCATGTGAAGACACGGAGAAGAAGGTCGTGTGAAGACAGAGGCAGAAATTGGGGAATGTGGTTCGCCAGCCACAGAATGCTGCCCACTACCAGAGGTGGAAAAGACAAGGAAGGCTTCTTTCCTAGATTCCCGGGAGGGGCAAGGTCCTGCTGACACCTGGGCTTTGGACTTCTGGCTTCCAGAACTGTGACAGAATGTATTTCTGTTGTTTAAGCCACCAAGTGCGGTGCTTCGTTACAGCGGCCTTGTAGGCCGAGAGGCCACTGTGCCCTTTTTTTTTTTTTTTTTGAGACGGAGTCTTAATCAGCTGCCCAGGCTGGAGTACAATGGCACATTCTCAGCTCACTGCAACCTCTGCCTCTCAGGTTCAAGAGATTCTCCAGCCTCAGCCTCCCGAGTAGCTGGGATTACAGGTGCATGCCACCAAGTCCAGCTCATTTTTTTTGTATTTTTAGTAGAGATGGGGTTTCTCCATGTTGGCCAGGCTGGTATTGAACTCCTGACCTCAGGTGATCCACTGGCCTCAGCCTCCCAAAGTGCTGGGATTACAGGCATGAGCTACCCCGCCCGGCCTGTGCCTCTTATTTTTAAGGCCAGTCCACAAGACTGTTAATAGAGCTCTATACACTTTGTGTTCTGAGCATGGAGCTGGGGGTTGTGGGTCCCAGCGACAGGCTTTTGTGAGAGATGTCAGCCCAGTCGCTGACGAGTCTGTTGTTGCAGCCGTGAGAGTAAAGCCACAACTCCAGCACATACCTTGCTTCTGACCACAGTAGTCGAGGTGCTGTTGTGTCCTAAGAACTGTTACTAACTGGACACGGCACTCAGACACATAAACCAGCACAAATCTCTGCAACTTCAGAGCCAGCAACAAACGCCAAAAGCCCAGGTGCTGGAGGGGTCTTGGGGCCCTCATGCTGCTGAGGGGAGGTGAGTGGGGCAGAGCTTTGCAGGGCTGGGCCGCCCCCACGGGTGGCGCATAGAGCCCGGGTTCTGGCGTGTCTCTGTATGGCCCAGTCTTACTCTCATTTACTGTGCATCTGTGGGGGGCTGGGCTCAGTGTTGAGGATGAGGGTGTGGAGGCCAGAGAGCGCCACGCCCGTGGGATCTAGGAGGCACGGACACGGAACAGATCGTTTGTTTCTCTTACTGTCTGCATTTGACCAGTGCAGGAAGGTGGCCCTGAAATCACATTTTACCTGGGCACAGTGACTCCTGCTGAGGCAGGAGGAGGATTCCTTGAGGTCAGGAGTTCAAGACCAGCCTGGGCAACATAGTGAAACCCTGTCTCTATTTAAAAAAAAAAATCGGGTTTTTTGCCTGAAGTCCTTTATCCCTGAGGAGGGTCTCGCTGCCACCCAGGCTGGAGCACAGCCTTGGTGTCAAAGAGAGACCCTGTCTTTAAAAATCAATCAATCAAAACAAGAAAAATAATCATCAGGGTTCCTGTGGTAACATAGCTTAGTATTTTGTTCTGTTGTGATGAGAACATTTTAGGTTCTGGTCTGTTCCTTCTCACCTCAAGTACTAGAGAAGACAGAGGCTGGACCCTTCTGCTGCCACTTCTGGGGGAGAGCTTGGGCTCCTCCCTGGCTTTTCTGAAACTGTGTCTTCATTTGCAGGATGGACTAGTTGAGCCTGCTTCACTTCCCTCATAGACCGTTTATTTTGGAAGTTTCTTTGAAAACAGAAAAGCACAAATTTAAGGCCAGGTATTACATGCCTGTAATCCCAGTACTTTGGGAGGTTGAGGCAGGCGGATCACTCAGTCCAGGACCAGCCTGGGCAACATGGTGAAACCTTGTCTCTACAAAAAAGACAAAAATTAGTCGGGCACAGTGACATGCACTCAGAGTCCAGCTACTTAGGGGGCTGAGGCAAGAGGCTCACTTGAGCCTGGGAGGTGGAGGCTACAGTGAGCCATGATGGCACCACTGCACTCCAGTCTGGGTGACAGGGCAAGACGCTGTCTCAAAAAAAGAAACGTCATTTTAAGAACCTTTTTAATTCTTTATTATTATTATTATTATTATTTGAGATGGAGTCTTACTCTGTCGCCAGGCTGGAGTGCTGTGGTGTAATCTCGGCTCACTGCAACCTCCGCCTCCCAGGTTCAAGCGATTCTCCTGCCTCAGCCTCCTGAGTAGCTGGGACTACAGGCGCGCACCACCATGCCTGGCTAATTTTTTGTATTTTTAGTAGAAACAGTGTTTCACTGTGTTGGCCAGATGGTCTCAATCTCCTGGCCTCGTGATCTGCCCGTCTTAGCCTCCCAAAGTGTTGGGATTACAGGTGTAAACCACCGCACCCGCCTTTTAATTCTTTTTTTTTTTTTTTTTCGGACGGAGTTTCGCTCTTGTTACCCAGGCTGGAGTGCAATGGTGCGATCTTGGCTCACCGCAACCTCCGCCTCCTGGGTTCAGGCAATTCTCCTGCCTCAGCCTCCTGAGTAGCTGGGATTACAGGCACGCGCCACCATGCCCAGCTAAGTTTTTTTGTATTTTTAGTAGAGACGGGGTTTCACCGTGTTGACCAGGATGGTCTCGATCTCTTGACCTCGTGATCCACCTGCCTCGGCCTCCCAAAGTGCTGGGATTACAGGCTTGAGCCACCGCGCCCAGCTTTTAATTCTTTAAGAAGTAATTAGAGTTGGGTGTGTTAATTTCCTAGAGCTGCTGTAACAAAGTACCACAAACTGGGGGACTTCAAGCAACAGAAACATAATCTTTCACAGTTCTATTGGCCAGAAACCGAAAACCATGGCGTTGGCTCTCTGAAGGTGCTAGGGAAGGACCCTTTCTTGCCTCTTTGACGTTCCTGTGGCAGCTGGCAAGCCTTGGTGTTCCTTGGCTTGTATCCACAAGAAATCACTCATCTTTGTTGTCACATGGCCTTCTTCTATGTGTCTGTCCAGACGTGCATCTTTTAATGAGGACCCCAGTCCCATCCGAATCCTGTTTGTCCTCAGCTTAACTAATTACATCTGCAGATACCCTATCTCTAAATAAGGCTCCATTTCCAGATCCTGGGGGTTTTGCTGTGGGCGTCTTTTTGGAGTACCCACTACAGTAAAGTTTCTACTTTTCCTATCAAAAAGGTGCTTGGAATTGCCCCTTTGATAATTTGATGATAACTGGGTATGGTGGCTTGAGCCTGTAGTCCCAGCTATTCAGGAGGCTGAGGTGGGAGGATTGCCTGAGCCCAGGAGTTTAAGACCAGCCTGGGCTATATTTAGGGAGACGCTCATCTCAAAAAAACATTTTGATGTTATGAAATCTAAAATTATGAACTTGCTTGTGAAAATAGAATTTGGGAGGGCATGGTGGCTCACAGCTGTAATCCCAGCACATTGGGAAGCCCAGGCGGGCGGATTGCTTGAGCCCAGGAGTTCGAGACCAGCCTGAGCATCACAGCAAAACCTTGACTCTACAAAATACAAAAAAGTTAGCCAGGCACGGTGGCACATGCCTATAGTCCCAGCTACTCAGGTTAGGATGGAGAATCACTTGAGCCTGAGGAGGTCAGGGCTGCAGTGAGCCACAATTGTGCTACTGCACTCTAGCCTGGGTGACAGTAAGACCCTGCCTAAAAAAAAGAAAAGAAAAGAAAATGAGAAAGGTCTGGCATGGTGGCTCACACCTGTAATCCCAGCACTTTGGGAGGGCGAGGCAGGCAGATCATCTGAGGTCAGGAGTTCAAGACCAGCCTGGCCAACATGGTGGAACCCCATCTCTACTAAAAATACAAAAATTAGCTGGGTGTGTTGGCGAACACCTGTAGTCCCAGCTACCCGGGAGGCTGAGACAGGAGAACTGCTTGAACTCAGGAGGTGAATGTTGCAGTGCACTCCAGCATGGGCAGCGGAGTGAGACTCAGAAAAAAAAAAAAAAGATTTTAAGATGAAGTTTTAGAACAGAACGTTGTAGCCTGAAAAACTCCAGAGTTAACTGTTAGTTCCAGCGTCTGACTTCTGAATGAGCGTGTGTGTTGTCTAGTGATGGGGCGTCCATGCCAGGTTTCCTTTTGCTTTCTGAACATTTGCTCTTGACATTGGCTCTTTTAATTCAGTAAACTGCACTTTTAAATCCTCCACTTAGGAGATCGAGAGGCTTACTGAGCGACTGGAAGAGAAAGAGAGGGAGATGCAGCAGCTGCTGAGCCAGCCGCAGCACGAGCGAGAGAAGGAGCTCGTCCTGCTGCGGAGGAGCCTGGCGGAGGGGGAGCGGGCCCGGGCCGCCGGTGACGTTCTGTGCCGCTCCTTGGCCAGCGAGACCCATCAGCTGCGGAGGACGCTGACCGCCACCGCTCACATGTGTCAGCATCTGGCCAAGTGTCTGGATGAGCGACAGCAGGCACAGAGGAGCATGGGGGAGAGGAGTCCTGGCAAGGTAGGCCGCAGTGCAAGCGAGTTGTGGTGAGGAGCCTGGGCGCTGGCAGCCATCGCCCGCGGGCTCCTGATCGCAGGGCTCGGGGGGCGCCCCAGAGCCCTCTTGCGTTCTCAGTAACGAGAGTCGGCTGACACTGCAAAACTCGCTCATCCAAGGGTTTCTTTTAAAATGATGGAACATGCAAAATGTGACAGGAAAGCAGGCAGCCACCTCACTGCCCCCACAGCAGGCCTGTAGCTGGCCCTGCACCCCGGCAGGTGATGGCACTTGGGTTTCATGTGCCTCCGCTGAGGGTGAGGAGGAAGAGCTGGGGGTGGCAGAGCTGCCTGGGAGTGCAGTCACCTCCTCCTCATCTGAGGACATTGAAGCACAGTCAGGTATACTGCTGGGGACCAGGAGTGCCTCCAGATTCCACATCCAGAGCTCCTGGAAGGACGGAGTACCCGCCTTCTGCAGGCTCAGCGTGCCTGTGTGGACCTGGGCACAGCCAGAACCGCCATCTCCAAAGCTGGCTTTAGGCGTGTCCTTGCCAGCAGCACAGACTCCTACCAGCTTGGAGGCCTGGCTCAGGGCTGCAGCCTCCTCCTCATCAAAGCCAGGACCAGAGCACAGCAGTGCCAAGTGACAGTGAGGGCCAAAGAAGGGTTCACTGGACCTCCAGGTTGGGCCGGGTCTGGGTGGTAGCTCTGTGTGGGTCCAGTGGGAGAGGGGGACCGTGGGAGTTTCAGCATCAGGAGAAACCAGGGAGCTCCTAGGTGGAAGGGTAGAGGAGCCGTGAGCCCGAGGCCTCTGTGTGCTGAGTGCCAGGGGGCCACTGCGAGCCAGGCACCCTCCATCTTGCTGGTGGTTGTGGTGGTCTGTGTGGCAGGCAGGGAAATGGAGGCACCCCATGCACCTCTCACCGGAACTGAGGCCGCATTGCACTCACACTGCGGGGCATAGGGCCTCTTGCTCGGGGCCTTTCTAGGCAGTTCTCTGAGGCAGCACCAAGGTTCATGCGGAAACACACACTCTGGGATGTTCTGAGCAGATAGGACATCCCGTCCCCATCAGCAGCTTCACTGAAGCGGCCGGCGGGGAGAAGCTTGGCCTGAGAACTGCCCGCCTCAGCTGGGTGGATTCCAGGCCGCGAACCTCAGAGAGAACACAGCTGCATTCAGAAGCCAGAGAAAAAGTGCCATCTGGGCGGAGGCAGGGTCTTCTGTCTGATTTTGAGTCACCGTGTCATTTCCCTCTGGGGATTTGAAAGGAGCCACACTCAGGGCTCAGCCTGAGGCGAGTGTGGGGCCGCTGACAGGGTGGGCCCTCAGCACAGTCTCTAAAGAAGTGTCACTTCTCAGCCTGAGCTCAGCTGAGTCACCCGGGGCTTCCCGGTGTAGGCTGGGTTAGGACACGCACTTCCTTTGTCATTCAGGGGAATCTCAAACATGATGTCACTGAGACGCAGTTGGAATTCTAGGGCACACATGGGCTTCATGAGACTTTCCATTTAGCGCTTGTGGTGGTTAGTGGGGCTCAGTTTGGGTTGTGGCTTCCGTGACTGAATCTCCTGACCCTGCATGGGGCAGAGGTTAGATTGCTGGGTCCAGAGGCCCCTGGTTGAACCTGACTGTCTGCAGGCAGGACACTGTCATGGGCTCCAAAGGAGGTCAGCGGGTGTGTGGCGAGGCCCACCCTGGGCAACTGGGCCCCCTCACTGGAGACTCTCTGGTTTACAGTGAGGTTCAGCTTTCTGCCTTACCTGCTGTCTGTGATAATGGCAAATGTCTGGCAATGAGAAGACTTTGCTATGTCTGGTGTGCCAACCTCTGTAGACATTATGGCTTTAGAATATTTACATTCCAAATATTTAAAAGACAAACAGCTGGCCGAGTGTGGTGGCTCACACCTGTAATCCAAGCACTTTGGAGGCCAAGGCGGGCGGATCACCTGAGGTCGGGAGTTCAAAACCAGCCTGACCAACATGGTGAAACCCATCTAAAAAAATAATCATAATAAAAGACAAACAGCTGAAACTGGTAGGTAGGTTGGGATGAGGACAGTGTCACAGGTGACATGACCCGAAGACTGGGCTGTGGCCTGGGCCTGGTGGGGTGGGCCTGGGCAGGGCGGAGGTGGCCCCTTGTCCCCGCTCTGCTTCTCTGCCAAGTGAACGATCACTATGCGCTGCATTGGGGGATGCAGTGAGACTCTGGCCTTAGTCTCTGGGTCTAGCTTTCTCCCTCCTGCAGTGTGTGATAGAGTGTCTTCTCTCTGTCCCTTCTTCATGCAGTCAGAACATACAGGCGGGCCCGCCTCTGTCCAGAGTGTTATTGAAAAGTTGCAGGAAGAAAACCGACTGCTAAAACAGAAGGTGACTCACGTGAGTGTCCTTCAGGTTTTGTTTGGGAGGAACACATGCCTTCGAACTGTGAGTGAGGGCTCTGTCCTCGGCCGATGCCCAGAGGCTGCCCCCACCTTCTGGCCACTATGGCTTGGCACACAGTCCCTAGAGACTGTACTTTTTTTTAGTGCCTAAAATGATGGACAGGATGTGTTCTGTCCATCTCCATCCCCCTAAAATTAACTCACATGGCAGTGAAGGAAATGCAGGAGTCGCCAGAGGCACCTTTTCTAGCAGAAAAGTCGCACCGAGTCTGCTTCTGTTTCTGCCGGTCGGGTCGCGTACGGGCGTCATCCCAGTGCCTCAGGATTCTCTAGTGGGCTGAGTGTCTGCTCTCCGCAGAACAGGGAGGGGAGCTTCCATGTAAGAGGAAACTCCCACTCTGCGAATCCTGCTGGGAAATAGTTCACACCGGGCGCCGGCCGGAGCAGCACTGGCAGCTGCCTTCGCCATGAGCTTTCCTGCTCCACCTCCACAGGTTGAAGACCTCAATGCCAAGTGGCAGCGCTATGACGCCAGCAGAGACGAATATGTGAGGGGGCTCCATGCCCAGCTCAGGGGGCTGCAGATCCCCCAAGAGCCCGAGCTGATGAGGAAGGAGATCTCCCGGCTCAACAGGCAGTTGGAAGAGAGAATGAACAGCTGTGCAGAAGTGAAGCAGGAGCTGGCGGCCTCGAGGATGGCCCGGGACGCTGCGCTGGAGCGGGTGCAGATGCTGGAGCAGCAGGTGTCTGTCCCCGGGCTCAGGAAGGCACTGACCGATGTCTGCCAGCTGGTGGTGGCCAAAATCATGGGACAGGCTGGGCTGAAGGCTCGGTGGCCCTGAGTGGGCGGTGGTCATGGTGTGGGGGGAGAAGCCAGGTGGAGACTTCCTCCGCCCTTTTGTAGAAACGTGTGTCTTGGCTCTCTTCAGATTCTCGCTTACAAGGACGACTTCATGTCGGAAAGGGCCGATCGGGAACGGGCTCAAAGTCGGATTCAGGAACTGGAGGAAAAAGTCACCTCTTTGCTGCGCCAGGTGTCCTGGAGACAGGTAAGGTGTCAGGGCATTTTCTTCTTGCTTAGGTTTGGGGTTTTTGTTTTTCTCCTCATGAATTTAGAGCCTTTCTGTGTCTGCCAAGGCCCTGATGTGCTGGTGATGAGGGTTGTGGTGAGCCCTTCCTGCTCTGGGAAGAGCCACCTTGCCTGGCACCTGGGGCGTGGCCATGGAAAGCCTCCCTGTGCACTGTGTTTACTTGTGGAGGGGGCTGGCATGGCGGCCTGTATGAGCAGAGGTGACTGTCCTCAGGGACTGTCCTGCCTCCCTGTCCGTCACTGCCATGCAGTCAGAGAGCACGTCCCGGGCCTCAAAGTGTGAGCTCCATACGTGTCTTGTCCTGTCTGTGAGGCAGGAGTCCCGCTTACCCTGTCACATAGATATGATGGCCCTGGGTGTCCAGGAACCTCCCCCAGCTCAGCCTGGCACATGGAGCTGGGCCTTGCTGGCCAGAGGCCCCTCACCCTACCCCTGGGCTCAGTGCTGTCCCTGCCGTGGGGATGCTGTGAGGAGGCCTGGTGTGGATAGGAAGCGATGGAGCTCCTCGCTGTGTGACCCACGGCCCTTCCCTTCTCCTCTCCCTTCTCTTCACTGACTTGTGCTCTGCAGAAATCCCAAAGTTCGTTAGCTCCTTGTCAAGTATCTAACACACGTCTGGCCATGGAGTAAGTCCGGGGCCCCACTCAAAGACCTTCCTTCCCTGACACAGACTGAAAGGTAGTGGTACCCCTCACAGTCAACGTACCCGGGCAGGAGCTGGGACGCCAGGCTGAGCCGCTCCTTGTGGCAGGGTGTGGACAGGGACCCTGGGGCTGAGGGCCAGCCCCACTGCCCTGTTCTGAGCAGCCACTGGGCCTCTGTGCCTTCTGCTTCTCCTGCACAAAGGGCACAGGGGAATCATGGTGGGCGCCTCTTCTAACACACCCTTGGCCTAAGTTTGCAGCTGAGGGCTGGACACAGGCAGCCGTTTGTAGTCACGCATGAAGGAGGAGGAACCTGGTGGGGACTGTCTTCCCCGCTTAAGTCCACAGGCTGACAAGGAGGCGCTGGAGGCCTCACCAGCCACAGCAGGCCCTGCCTGGAGCCCCTGCCCGGCCCCTGCAGCCTTCTCGGCGTCACAGAATAGGGTGTGTCTGTGGCTCCCCATCCCCCAGTTCCAGATTCTCCTCAGTCGCTGGGACAGCAGGCCTGGGACAGGGATCCGTCAGCACGTCCCTTGGGCAGGAATAAGAGCATCTGGCTACAGAACGACGTGTGGGTTTTCCTGGGATTTGGTTTTGCCTGTGGGTTTTCGGGGCTCCATGAATTTGAGGAAGCCATGATGTGGACTGAGGGGACACTAATGGTACAATCATGAGGATGGGCTCAGGCAGCCTCTCAAAGATTTCAGACCAGAAGAACTGGTTCTAGACCTACAGGCCCAGATGCTTAGCCCCAAGGGTAAAATTTCTGGTGGGGCTGGAGACTTTGTACTAAGTGGCCTCTGTGTCCCTTTCTGCAGTAGCCTGGGGCCCCTGGGGTGTTGCTCAGTCCCTAGGTGGCATACCCAGGGACATGGTGCTGAAGGCTTGGCTAACAAGCTGTGGTCCCACCGGGGAAAAGCCACACTCAGAAGGACGTGGAAGCCCGAGGCCCACTGCAATGGTGCCCCAGATGAGCGGTAAGGGCTGCAGGCCACAGTGCGTCAGGACAGACGTTTGGAGAACGTGTGCTAAGCTGTGCCAAGTGGTGGGGCCAAGCCAGGGACACTTCCTGCTGCTACTGAAGGACTCCCTGGGCCCCAGAGTGCTCACAGAGGAGACGCAGAGTGGGGTTGGGACCGTTTGCCCAGCTCCCCGCCCTGGGCTCTGCCGCCTCTATGCTGTGGTGGTGTGTGGGCCACATCGTCAGGGCCACCTTCTCCGTCAGGTCCCCTGGGGCCGATGGGGCTTCCACCAAGGGGTTGGGGAGTGGATCCCGGTAGGGCCTGTTTCTTCATGAGTGCATGAGGGCGCATGTGCGTGATCTCTTCAGTCATTCACTGAGCACCCCTTTGTCTGGGCTCTGGGGTACAGCAGGAAGCAAAGTGAGGGATTGCAGTTCCGTTCAGGGACAGATGCAGCAGCGCTGGCTGCCGGAACCTGAGAGCGGCTTTGTGACCTTCATCACAGCCCATGTAAATAGACCCTTGCCTTTTCTGCAGGATTCTCAAGAGCTGGACGCCTGCCGGACTCACACTGGGAGCAAAACTGCCAAATACTTGGCCACCGATGCATTGGCGCTTATGGTGCCACGTGGCTCGAGGCCTGGGACTGGGTCCCAACAGTTGGAACCCCCTGCAGAGGACGGGCATCCTGGCGCAGCTCAGAAAGGCCAGGGGGACCTTCAGTGCCCTCACTGCCTTCAGTGCTTCAGCGACGAGCAAGGTGAAGAGCTCCTCAGGCATGTGGCCGAGTGCTGCCAGTGACCGAGATTCCACCCATGCATGCCCTTGCCACTCCCTGGCCCAGCGCAGCTGCCCTCAGGGATAGGGTGGGTGCTCTCAACTCCATGGATTAAGTTCTACTGAGATCCAAGGCTCGTAAAATAGGTGTGGGGCACTGTGATCATTTGGTACCCCTTTGGCTATGGAACAGGCTGGGTCACAGGGAACTGCCAGTGAGGCTAGAGGCTGGAGGTGGAGATGGGGTCAGAAACATCTGGCAGAGGGAGGTCCCAGTCTTGTGTCTCCATCAGGCTGAAGCCAGCGATCTGATGCTGGCATGCCAGCCCTCCCCTGCCTGCACCTGGGAATGCCGCAGCTTGCCAGAAAGGGGTGGCTGCCTGTGGGAGCCACTCATACGGTCCCCTGGGTGGAAGCCCATCCTCTTCTACGGGATAAGGTGTCTCCTCTCTGCCTGGAACCGGGAGGTTTGCCACATGGAGTATTGCGGCTGTGCGTCACACTAGGGCCACCCGCCATCACAGAGCCACATGTCTACACTGCAAAACAGCATCGAATAGCATGTGTCGCATATCCAGAACTTAAAGCACACTTATTTTGTTCTGCCTATTTTTATAATAAATGTTCTTGCCACTGTGACTGCTCTGAGAATTTGTGTTGGGAGCTGGGCTGCAGGGACTGGGCAGTGTTTTCAGCAGCAGCTGGAGCTGCTGGCATGGGAACCAAGACAAGGGGGTCCGTGGGAGGCTGGCTGTGTTAGGGTTCTCTAGAGGGACAGACTCGGAGTATATACATAGAAGTGAAGATTTCCCTTCACTGCTGTCCTCCAGGGATGTCCTAGAAAGCGGCTGTGGCGCTGCAGCTGTCCACTTTCTGTATATAGGGGGAGTTCATTAACTTACACGATCACAAGGTCCTGTTCTCAGGCTGAGGAGCAAGGAGAGCCAGTCCCAGTTCCAAAACAAGAATGTCGAGACCGGTGTCCGAGGACGGGAAGCATCTCGCACAGGAGGTGTCGGCTGGGAGGCCAGGCCCGTCTCTTCTCATTTTTCTGCCTGCTTTATCTTCTAGCTGCGCTGGCAGCTGATGAGATGGTGCCCACCAGATTCAGGGTGGGGCTGCCTTCCCAGCCCACTGACTCCAGTGTTAATCCCTTGGCAACACCCTCACAGACACACCCAGGATCAATACTTTGCATCCTTCCACCCAATCAAGCTGACAGTACTAACCATCACAAGTCCACCCCTTGTCAACTTGAACCCATACACATCTCCTGAGCTCATACACAATCTTCAAATAATGAGGTCACAATTAACACCCAACATAATACAGCTCTCCTTCATACAACCAGAAACGCACCGATCCCCAACCCAGATGCCGTCACATAAACAGTGCTTAAATGCTGATGTGAAATCAGTAAGCCTTGTGTCACAGGATAAAGGAGAAAGGAAAGGAAAGGATTGTTTTAGCACAGGTGTAAACGTGCACAACCATTTTTAACAAAAGAAGGAGGAAATGCTCGTGGCAACTGCAGGCCTGGTTTCTGCAGCTGATCACACGGTCGGTACTGACGACTGCCTTCTCCCACCCATTCTGTGTTCCCTTTGCCTTCAGCAAGCACCTCAGCAGTTGGTGGTTATTTTCCTGGTGGGGCCACCCAAACCTTCACTCCTGAGGGGTCTGGCTCATCTGCAGTCCTGCCTGGATTGGGCTGCCGTAGTTTCCCATTGCCTTAATCACAGGGCATGGTAATCTGAAGAGGCACCCTAAGGGATCTCCTGTCTTCCATGCATACTCTTCCCCACCTCCCTTGTGGGGTCGTAGACTGATTTCATCTTGATAGTCCGGGTCAATCACCCCGGCCAACACTGTAACCCCCTTCTTAGCCTGTAGACTTACAGGTAGGAGGAGCCCAAAGTGTCCAGGTGGCAATCTTCCAGCTTAATGGAATCATTGTGTCTCCTGGTGGCAGCGTTCCTCCCTCTGGAACTAAGACCTCTAGGCCAGCAGAACGTAATGTCGTGGGAATAGGAAGCACAAATGTTGCTAGTGGGCCCCTAGGGGTGATGGTGGGTGGTGCCACTTCCACTTCCACCCCTTGATTCCTGGACCCATGAATCCTGGCCGTGGGAGAAACAGTAGCATATATTGGATACTGAGAGCATACCCGGCCTTCTGGAGAACTTTGCCCTAGTTGTAATTGTGACTTCTAAAGGCCATTCCACCATTCTATCCAGATGCTTCAGGATGGTGGGGAACATGGTAAGCGCAGTGAATTCCATGAATGTGAGCCCACTGCCGCACTTCTCTAGCTGTAAAATGAGCACCTTGGTCAGAGGCAGTGCTGTGTGGAACACCATGACGGTGGATGAGGCGTTCCGTGAGTTCACGGATGGTAGTCTTTGCAGAAACTCTGGGTGCAGGATAGGCAAACCCATAACCAGAGTCAGTGTCTAGTCCAGTGAGGACAAACCTCTGCCCTTTCCATGATGGAAGGGGTCCAGTATAATCAACCTGCCAGCAGGTCGCTGGCTGATCGCCCTGAGGAATGGTGCCATACTGAGGGCTCAGTGCTGGTCTCTGCTGCTGGCACATTGGGCACTCAGCAGTGGCCGTAGCCAGGTCAGCCCTGGTGAGGGGAGGTCCATGTTGCTGAGCCCGTGCGTAACCTCCATCCCTGCCATCATGGTCACTTTCTTTATGGGCCCATTGGGCGATGACAGGGGAGGCTGGGGAGAGAGGCTGAGTGGTGTCCACAGAACGGGTCATCCTACCCACTTGATTATTAAAATCCCCCTCTGCTGAGGTCACCCATTGGTGAGCACCCACATGGGATACAAACACCTTCACAGTTTTTGATTACTCAGAGAGGTCCATCCGCACACCTCTTCCCCGGATTTCTTTGTCACCAATTTTCCAATCATGCTTCTTCCAAGTCCCTGACCATCCAGCCAAATCATTGTCTACAGCCCATGAGTCAGTGTGCAATCGCACATCTGGCCATTTCTCCTCCACGCAAAGTGCACAGTCAGGTGCACTGCTCCAAGTTCTGCCCACTGGGAAGATTTCCCCTCACCGCTGTCCCTCAGGGATGTCCTAGAAAGGGGCTGTGTGCTGCAGCTGTCCACTTTCGGGTGATGCCTGCGTGTGGTGCAGAACCATCTGTGAACCAGGCCCTAGTCTTCTCTTCCTCTGTCAACTGATCACAGGGAACTCCCCATGAGGCCATTGGTGCAGGCTGGGGGAGACAAGGCAGGTGGCAGGAGTGGAGACCATGGGCATCTGAGCCACTTCCTCATGTGACTTACTTGTGCCTTCAGGACCTGCTGGAGTCTGATCACGTATACGCCACTTCCAACTGATGACGGAACGCTGCTGTGTGCAACCCACTTTATGGCTGTATGGGTCAGAAGGCACTCAGTTCATGACAGGCGGTTCAGGTCGCATGGTGACTTGATGACCTAGAGTCAGACGTTCCATTTCCACCAAAGCCCAGTAACAGGCCAAGAGAGCAGTTGTCTGCAGAAGACGGCTGGGCCTTGCTCCAAAACCCTAGAGGCCTCTGCTGTGATTCTCCTGTGGGGGCTGCCAAAGGCTCCACACAGCATCCCTGTCTGCACTGACACCTCAGCACCATTGGATCTGCTGGGTCACATGGCCCAAGTGGCAGGGCAGCCTGCACAGCAGCCGGGGCCTGGTGCAGAGCCTTCTCCTGTGCTGGACCCCACTCAAAACCGGCAGCCCTTCCAGTCACTCGATATATGTGCCAGAGTAACACACACAAATGAGGAACGTGTTGCCTCCAAAATCCGAACAGGCCCACTAGACGCTGTGTCTCTTCTTGATTGTAGCAGGGGCCAAATGTGCAAGTTTCCTTCACCTTGGAAAGAATATGCTGACAGGCCCTACACCACTGGACCCCTAGAAATTTTACTGAGATAGAAGGTCTCTGAATTTTTTTTTTTCTTTTGAGATGGAGTCTTGCTCTGTTGCCCAGGCTAGAGTATAGTGGCGTGATCTCAACCTCTGCCTTCTGGGTTCAAGTGATTCTTCTGCCTCAGCCTCCTGAGTAGCTGGGATTACAGGCACATGCCATGACGCCTGGCTAATTTCTGTATTTTTAGTAGAGACAGGGGTTTCACTATGTTGGCCAGGCTGGTCTTGAACTCCTGACCTCATGATCTGCCTGCCTTGGCCTCCCAAAGTGCTGGGATTACAGGCGTGAGCCACTGCACCCAGCCTGGTCCCTGAATTTTTGTTGGATTTATTTCCTATCCTCTGGCACCAAACGGTCTCACCAATAAGTCCAGTGTGTTTGCTACTTCTTGCTCACTGGATCCAGTCAGCATAAAGTCATCCATGTGATGGACCAGTGTGATATCTCGGAAGCGAAAAGCAAGATCTCTCCGAATAAGATGATGACACAAAGCGGGAGAGTTGATAAACCCCTGAGGTAGAGCAGTAAAGGTATATTGTTGGCCTTGCCAGCTGAAGACAGATTGCTTCTGGTGGGTCCTATGGACGGGAATGGAGAAAAAGGCATTTGCCAAGTCAATGGCTGCATACCAGGTACCAGGAGATGTGTTCATCTGCTCAAGCAAGGAAACACATCTGGTACAGCAGCTGAAATTGGAGTCGCCACTTGGTTAAGCTTACAGTAATCCACTGTCATTCTCCAAGTTCCACCTGTCTTCGGCCCAGGCCAAATGGGAGAGCTGAACAGGGATGCGGTGGGAATCACCACCCTGCATCTTTCAAGTCCTAGATGGTGGCGCCAATCTCCGCAATCCCTCCAGGGATGTGATACTGTTTTTATTTTCTCTTTTTCTAGGTATAGACAGCTCTTATGGCTTCCATCTGGCTTTTCCCACCATAATAGCCTACACCCTACCAGTCAGGGAGCCAATGCGGGGTTTCTGCCAGCTGCTAAGTATGTCTATGCTGATTATGCCCTCTGGCACTGGGAAAATGACCACAGGATGAGCCCGGGAACCCACTGAGCCCACTATAAGTCAAACATGAGCTAAAACTCCATTACTTACCTGACCTCCATAAGCCCCTAGTTTATCTGGAGGACCACAATGATGTTTGCAGTTCCCTAGAATCAGTGTCAGCTCAGAGTCAGTGTCCAGCAGTTCCCGAAATGTCTGATCATGTCCCTTTCACATGTTACCAATACACAGGGTAACCAATACACAGTTACCCTGGTAAAAGGCCAGAGGTCTCCCTGGGGAAAGTTGGGAGTAAGATTCACTGCATAAATTGTCAGTAATGTGGCAGGGTCCTTCCTCAAGGGGACCCGGCCTCCCCTTCATTCAAGGGGTTCTGGGTCGGTAAACTGGCTTAAGTCCGGAAATTGATTGAAGGGCCGTGATTCTTTGTTTTTATAATTCAAATTAGTCTTTTGTCCATTCAACCTAGAATTTTTCTGCTTATATAAATAAGTGACAATGCTGTAGGTTCCTATCAATTTCCCTTCTAGGAACACTGTGATTAATTTGCCAACGCCAGAGCTCTCCGTGAGTCAGACTATTCTGATTGCTGCTTTTCCTCTGCCATCCATTCTGGTCGCTACGCTCACCTTGCCTTTGATGGGTGAGTGCCGCCACTTGGCCCCAGCCAGCTTGGGATCCAATTATTCCC